GGACCTGATCCAGATAACGTGAACAGATACAAAAATACATTTTTCCTGCTCTTCACAGTCCACACTCTCCCTCTGACTCCAAAAAAAGAAAGCAATAATTATGCCACACCGCATGATCAGAGCTGATAGGGAGTCGGCTCAGATCCACAGCAATAGAAGGCGTCCCTGCCCGACCTGATTGGCCTGAATAAAATTTGGACCCAGCCCAGCATGAGTCCCGTATCAGATCTTGGATAACAGGAATCAGCTGAACTGGTGAAGACTTCTACGTCACAATCCCACCTCATGCAAGTGCGGGGGGGGGCGGGACGACAAAAAAAAAACACAGCAATGACCTCACAGGGTTCATGCAGATAGAGAATGCACTGCAAACAAAACATCAGAGCTTTACCGCCCTGTTACTTGAATTCAACACATGACGTGATTTCACAACTTAAAGCTGCATCACCTCTGCCTTAGCTTTCAACCCTGCTGCTTTGACGTTTTTCAGCCTCTGATGTCTGCATGCAACAAAAAAACTCCAGCACCTCCGCTAGAACCTTTTTCATAGTGTTTTAAAACATACTGAGAATAAACGCTGCTGCTCTTGTGTATCGTCTAGGTTACCGATGTGCAGCCTAAGTCATAAATGTCTCTTTTCTATCTAATAGATTCATTGAAGCTAATTATAATTGCACAGGGGGAGTCATGGCAACACCTTCTTTGGTTAATTGCAGCCTGAAAGCTACTTACTGTGGTTACAACTGTTAAAATGGCGAGGTTACGCAGTGTGAGGTTGAGAGTGGTCTTCTTCAGTCACAAGGCTACAGATGGATCTATTGGTTTCCACTTTCACTTAAAAGCCCTTCATTGAGCAAAGCAGTCACATGTTTTCCCCGGAGCCCAAAGTACTTTGACCATTCAAACAGATTTTACAAAAGAGACTCTCAAACAGGGTACAGCCAACCTGCTAGCTATGCTAATCCACCTTTACCTTGGGCACAGTGGCCCTGGAGACACAAATGAATTAATCAGTTGGGTTAACCACTAGTGGGTCGAGTTATTGTACCATTTTTCCATAGTGAAAAAAGGCAGCAGTCAAGAGAGGAGGAAATGTAATGTTGTGAAGACCAGCATTCTTGTTAGTAAAAGAGCAAATGCTATTGAGGGATTTAAAAATTTAAAACCAAATACTAGTAATGTTAGCTATCAAGCTAACTTGCAGTGCAATAATCAAACAGATATTTTTAGTCACGTTTTGAGTTTTTGTCAATCTGCCAGTTACTTAAATTGGGACAATGGCGTTTTTGATTTCACATCACCAATGAGATCATTTCAACTTCCACATCAGCTCCTCTTCTGACAAATGTCTGTATAACTACAAGCCTGTCTGTCTTAGTCCCTGTTAGCCTGACAACGATAGCAAGTATTTTTCCATTTTACACTCTTCTGACCATCTCACAAATCCCAGGGAATCCAGCGTTGCTCACAAGTGTGAAATAATGGCTTGTTGTGAGTGAAGTGCTGGATAGTATCTGCATAGTTCATCTGTTATGGTGTAGTTTTCTCGGCATGATAAATAAAATCCAAACATTTCCTAAAATGGAATGAAAAACATCGGAAGAGCATTACTTGGATCTGACAGTTAGGATGCCCTGTATAATTCAACATACTGGTCTGTTAATGCACGTCCTTATTGACATGGCAACATGGCTGAAGACAAGACAGGTATCAACTGCACATCAGGCTATTTTAGGGTCAAACAGTCTCACAAATAAACAAACAGACTTCAGTCACACATGAAGAATTTGTGCAGTGGCTTTTCTTAAAATGGGTCGAAACATAATCAGGCAGCTATTAATATACTTTGCACAGTCACCCAATTATAATATATGCAAACTAAATAAATGTGGTGTGTCCACACAGCTGACACCTCAGGTAAGGACCAAACACAAGAGCCACACTCGGCCTCAGTGTGAACAGGCTGACTAAAAACAAAACAAAACCTCCTTAACCACTTCCCAAAACACCATCACCTGCAGCAAGTCAACAACATTATAAAACTGGTTGCAGGGTTTGAACTTCACTGCAGTAGAATATAGAGAAAATTAGTTGCCAGTCACTTTGATAATCAATGCATCATTTATCAAATACCCATATGTACACATAAATATTCAATGGTTCCAACTTCTGAAACGCGACGGTTTGATAGTTTTTTTCTGTTTTGTGTCTTTGTAAAGTGAATGTCTTCGGACTGATGGCTGGGAAAAAAAGAAACAACTTAAATAGAGCTGCAGTGATTAGTCGGTTAATGTATTGAACGAAAATTAATCATCTGTTTTGACAACTGGATAATCGTTAAATTCTTTTTTTAAGCAAAAATATCAAACATTTGATGACCCCAATGTCAGAACGTGTTGCATTTCTCAGTCTTATATTTTAGTAAACTGAATATTTTGAGGTTTGGAGAGTTGGAAGATCAGCAAACATAAATTTGAAAACATTTAATTTGTCACTTTGGGCTCTGGGAAAATATGCTGGACATTTTCCAGACATAACTTGATTAGTAAAAAAAAACAAAAAAAAACATAATCAACAGACTATAATAATTAAAATAATTACTAGTAGAAGCCATAGAGTGAACATTAATGCTGCATTCATGTGCTATTAAATAACTTTTTCTAATTAATCTAGGTCATACTACGTGGACCACAACAAATTGTTACAACCTGATACCGTACTACATATTAAATGTTAGCAAAAAAAAAATGATATGCAATATGTCAATTTGCATCATTAATTTAGTGTTTCTCACCATCAACCAAACATTTACTTTGGCCACCATGTTTCTGCATTGCCAATATGGTATCACAACTCGGCACATCGTGCACCAAAATTTCCACAGACTTTCTGAGTTGTTATTCAGACGTGAGAGGGCGTTCACGTGAATTTTTCCAGTCAGAAACTCATTTTTCTGATTATTCCGGCACCACACAAATGCAGCGAAAGTCCAGCAAACTGCTCCACACTCCAGTGAATTTAGTAAAAATAAAACAAAACATTAACAGCCCAGTGGAGATGATGTAAAGTGGCATCTGGTAGTGCAGTACTGTAGCTAAACAATTACAATCAACCAAACACCAGACACACCAAATGGCATTACTGGTCGGCCATGCAAGGTTCACAGGTCAAAGTTCACTTGGACGTTTTGTCTGACCAAATAACTTGGCTCCATTATTCTCCATGCAAACCATCAAACACAGAGCTGGATTCGAACAATCAGTGTGACCACATGCTGGATTTAATTTACTTTTGAGAGCACTGCCAGCAAAACTGACACATAAACACACCGTGATGAAGAGAGACTCGTTTAAAGGCTCAAGTCGGCAGCAGGGCCCTTAAGAGTGTAGCTGGAGGCAGTGCACCTGGCTGCTTCCCAGGGTTGTGCGTGTGAGTGTGTGAGTGCGTGTGTGTGTTTCAGAAGAGGCTGCTGGCCCTTTAAAAGCTAAGATGGTGTCCTACAAGCTGCAGATTCTGCCTTCCGTTTCCTTCCTGTCTCTCAGAGATCACAGAGCATTTCGTATTGAACCTGAACTAACCTCGCACACAGTGAAAGACGGAGACAGAGGAGACGGAGAGGTTTCCGTATCAACCGTGGTAATGACTGTGCTCTCGGCGTGATGCTCTTACGATGCAATAAGGTCGCTGTTGCAAAAACTCTTCCACTAATTGCAAAATAAACCGCCTGCCCGCGAGGATACACTTGCAATTGGCTGTTAGAGACACATACACTCACTGACATTCACATTTGGCACATGTTGAGCTGACAATGTCAACTCTGCTTGTGTACAGGCGGATCAGCCACACAGGTAGATGTGTCTTTCCTTCATTGACCAGGGCAAAGTCAATAACGTGCACTTACTTTCTTGTTACGGGTCTCCGTGTGCATCTCGGTTGCCGGAGCGGTGCAGCGGCGGAGGGGTGGAGCAGCAGGAGCAGGAGGGGGTCGGTCGGGGCTTTGGGTGTAGCTCTATCTGAATAAGAACTGTTATGGAGAGAGGAGGGTTTAGGGGGACTAGTTTTCCACCTTTACAGTAAATTTTCGGGATATAGGAACACGATCCCTGCCTCTTCCAGTGTTTCTTTTCAGTTCATATCCGCAGCGTCGAAAGCTCCTTTTGCTCCCCCCAAAAAAATCAGCCAGTCTCTCTATGCCTCTCCCTCTCTCTCTGTCGGCGTGTTGTTGCCGTGTATTCAAGGGCTGGGCTCTCTCTCTCTGCCTTTTCCTCCTCCGCCTCTCCCTGCTTGTGACCCCACCCTGCGTCCCCACCCCTCATCTCTCTGTCAGTCAGGAGCTGTGCGCAGCCCTGCAGCCCTGCAGAGGAGCGGAGAGGAGCTGCGCTGCCGGCGACCCGACACTGGCAGCAGGCGGGCAGGCGGGCAGGAGCGGAACCGCGCACTACTGCATGAGAATTTTTAATTGCGTGCAACCACCACCACCACTCTCTTGGCATCCATGCACCCCCCCACCCCCACCCCCCCATCTCTTAATGCCATGCTGCAGCAGCGGGCTGTTTGTTGCTCAGAGATGGGGAAGAGAAGCACCCATGTCACCTTACTGACGTCAGCCAGCAGGCTAATTGAGGACACTTAAGCTGGGCGGGGAGGGTGTGAGCGATTTAGAGTATATTCAGAGTGGCTTTGCAGCATCTGTTGGATATAACAGGGAAGACAGCCAACTCTAATGAAAAATACGGTTATAACCACACCCTCAGTAATACAATAGGGCGTGGCAAGTTAAGGGTTTTAAGGGTTTTTATTTTCTTTAAAACACATTTCATCACAAAACAAATGCATGCTGCATGTTAGGGCTTATGTGGATTTCCATTGAGAGAATAACATAAATCCAAACAGCTGAAAACAACCCCATCTGGTCCCCATATACAGCCTTTTTCTTTTAGTTATTAAGATTTCTGCACTCAATATAATACACGTGGCTCCACTTTTACAAATGCCCCAAATCTACGCTTTCGTATTATTTTTCCTTGAGTGTAGCCATGAAACATAGCTTGAGATTCATTGTGATTCATATCGGGATTCTACTACATTTCCCATGATCCCACACGCCGGAACTGGAAGCGCAAAGCGGAAGCATGCGAAGGTAAACAAAACTTTTACCTATCAGAGTCACTTAGCAGTAAATTTATAATAATTGTGGTATTTGAATCACACAGATTTTGGTTTTAGACATGTATGACTCTATTGTCACCAGAAAATATTAGTTTACGTCGATCATTCGATCTAGCTATGGCACCGCTGTTGTCATGGAGATAGCTGCAGGCAACTAAGCTAGCAGTGGCTGCTCTCTGTTTCTCCCGTGTACGTTTTACTATTCACGTTTTAATTTAAGAATACGGTAAACTGGACTTTTTCATATTTTTACCAACATATTCCTTAGACTCATAGCTTAACATAGACCGTCTGCCTCACCTCTGGCTGCTGTCCTCGCCCTCGAAGTCTCAATTGATCACATGTACTGACATGTTAATTGTTAAATAAAAGATATTAGCCTGCACAGAACTGAAATAAAACGAAAAAGCTAAATAGGAACACGTTACCCTTCTCTCCTCTTTCTCCAAAGTTAATGGTTTGTAATGTTTGTTAGACCTCCGCCGATTTTTGTCAATATCAGAGCAACTGAAAAAACACGTAGTTAAATGTATTTCCAACATATTTATAAGATACATAGGATATTGGTTTTACCTCTTTACCTCTTTACCACGTTACTTTTATTTTACATCTTTTCTGTTGTGATTGTAAACTGAATATCCTCTGGGTTTGGACTCTTAACTTGATTTGAAAAAAAAAAAAAGCAATCTGGAAATGACACCACTATTGCAATTTTTCACAATTCTTTGACATCTTATAGACCAAATTATTAATTGATTTATGTAGACACATGAAGAGTTTAGTTGTGGTACTCTTAGTCAGTTTTACAAGGTACAGGGTGTCTACAAAGTGACAATAGAATTGTAATACTGTCATCTGTGTTTATGATGGTTGTGCCCTTTTCCTGCTGTTACACCAGCATCCACTGCGTGTCTGATCTGAGGTCTGTCTGTGTTCAATTTGTCAGAGTGACCCGGAGATCCTGTGAGGATGGACCGCTGCTGGAGGAACAGGAGACGGAGGGCCAGCGGCAGCTGCACAGCCTCCTGCTGCAGCAGCTCCACACCAACACCGACATCGACCGGTCAGAAACCATCTCTTTGTATCTGTGTTTACCATAAAATATGATATTGTCCTTTGGCCACATTTTTTGTACTTCCAGCCAACTAGATTTTCCTTCAGTTCTTAGAGAAATAGTAAATGCAACAATTTACTACAATATGATCTCAAGATTGATGTTATCAGCATTTTGTAAAAGAAAAAAAAAAACCCTACAGAAAACAAACAAAAATATTCTATAATTAGTTAAATTGTCAGCTATCAAGCAAAACATCTCACTCTTTGAGACCTTTGCAGTAGCATAAAATTGGAGACACAAGACATTATCTGAACATGCAAGTTTATTTAATATTATATTTATAATTTATCCTGAGCATAGTTTATAGTAAAGACAAAAATAACACCTGTTGAAATTATTAATCAAATCCAGGACAAAACATGAATCTGTGTTAAGATAAGTTTGATTTATAAATCATCAATAGGATCAGGTGTTGGCTCTGTTGCTAGCTAAGCGGTCACTGGATGAAATTACTGTCACACACACACAATAAACAAACATTAAACAGAGAGAATAAAACCTGCCTCAGTGTTCCTGTGTAGTTCAGTGGGAAAAGAAAGCAGTGTCTGCAGCTTTATCCCCACCAGAGCTCTCTGCGCTGTATAAAAAAAATCACACACTCTTTTTACTGTGTGGTGCTTTGGATAAAAGCATCAATCAAATTCTCTGTTATGTTACCTTCACAGTGTTCCACAGAACAGCCTGGAGGATGTTCTATACACATCCCTCAGGGCTACAGAGTCTTACACAGCCATCTTTTATCAGTAGTTTCTCATTGTCAAACATCAGAAACAACATTTAGGTAATATGACTTTGAAAGTGTCCTTTTAAAGCCGGTCTTTGATTGGACTGCAGCTGCTTTTGATAGAGCTGTGAGTGGATCCTGCATGATGCACACATCATGTACACATACCGTTGAGCTCACTTTGGAATAAATTCTGTCTTACAGATGTGTAGCTAAGAGGCAGTGCTTCGCCCCGGCGGCACTCTATCGGCCGTTTGGGGAGCAGGCAGCCGGAGTTAGGAGCTTGTCCCAGTTCCAGGCCTTGCAGGACGGGGAGAAAGAGCAGGCCAGCCTGCGGGAGCTGGGCCTCACGGACGCTGAGATCCAGCTGTGGCAGAGCAGAGACGCACCAGAGTTAGCAGAGAAGGTGAAACCTGCTGGAGACAGAGAACAGGAGGAGCTGGGTTTGATTCCTTGCCCTCTATGTGTGGAGTTTGTGTGTTCTCCTCATGTTTGCTCTAGTTCATAGCTATGAATGTTGAGTGTCCATTTCTACTGCATTGCGTGGTTGGAAGTGAAAGGCCTTAGAAATAGACTTGGGTTTTTTTGTTGTTGTTTGCATTTGGGGGGAAACGACTGATGATTTTCAAATCTAACTTCTTAACACTGATATACATAATATATATAAACCTCATCCAGTAAAACTAATGCCTTACCCTTGACTTTGTCCCGACACAGTCCCATGGTGTGTGCGCAGCTCCGGGGGCGAAGCAGCAGCGCCTGCAGGCGATCAGGGACAAGATCGAAGCCAGGGCGGAGCTCCTGTCCCGTCCACAGCGCTTCGCCAGCAGCCGGCCGCTGTCACGCCGGGAGATGGAGATTGAACGAGCGCTGTTCCAGGGAAACGACCGCCTAGGCTTCCTCACCGCGCTTTACCATCAAGGTATGAAGTGCTAGAGAGTCATCAGGTTGAGAGATAGATAATCAGTGGTGTGTAACTGTCACCCATTATGAGGGACAAGCTAAGCTGCAAGATTTAATTAATTTATTTTCACTAAGACATGAAAGAGCCATCGGGAATTAATTAATCCCAGGAATCATACAAAAGCCTCTCACACCCAAACACAAAAGAAGAAGAGCAAAAAAGAACAGGTTATTCAGGCAGTTACAGAGTTTCTTACTAAGAACAGTTTGAAACTTTAACAACAGAATAGAAACAATAGTTTCAGTTTGTTGAGCACCAGCTTTAGAATAGAGTTTCTAGAAACGTAAAATTATGTTATCTACATTCCAGGGCTTAAATCACAGCCTCTGTACATCCTCAGTTCAGTTTGGGAAGTCTTAAATATGTTGTGGTTTTCTGTGCAACCTCAAGAAAGGAACCAGTTGTTGTTGGCCCATGTTTTCAAAGGCAACAGCTTTATTTTCAAATTTTTTATAATGATGAAATTGGACCATATTTCAATAAAAAAAAAAAAAAGTTTATATCTCAAATTAAAATAAATAAAATCTGCAGGCAATTCTGTGATCCTGGAATTATCATATAAGTGAAAGAAGTTGGAATGAATAGAGTAGAAGAAGTATTAAATCAGAACAGACTGCTGACAGAATCTAATATTAGGATAAATAAAACAGTTTGAAACAACAGTACACAGGAGAGAGATGGGATACAATATTCACTGTTACATCTGTATCAGAAGATCTCATCAAGGCGGCTGTGTTTCTCTCCACAGATGAAGATAACCAGGAGGGCCAGCAGGGGGCGGCGTCCTCTGATCCAATGGACTCTCTCTACAGAGATGTTCTCAGCAAGGACAGACAACAGGGTTCACTGCTGGACTCTGAGGGAGAAACAACTGCAGCATCACACCTGTCTACACACAGAACTGTGTCTGACCAATCACAAAGCTCACGGACACACAATGACCAATCCGAAGAAACGGGGGGTGAAGAAAATGGATCATCGGACCAGCCAGAGACAAGTTCAGATACCTCGAAGCAGCAGCAGCACACTCAGGACAGACAGGAGCGAGCTGCTCCAGTCAAGATAGAAATAAACCAGCCAATCGGCAGTCTGTGTGGAGCGGTGAAGGCGGGGTCAGGAGGACCGCTGACTGTCAGAGGGGAGATTGAAACAATTACAGACGAAGAAATCCTGCAGAACCGCGAATCTGAGGAAGGGATCAGGAGCATCCCGAGGTTCCGAAACTACCGGCCAGGAATACCCTCCAAGGTGTCGACAGCTACATCCAGTAGTAGTTGTTCTAATGTAAAAGAGATCCTGATGGTTAGCTCATCAGGTGCTTGTTTTAAGAATAATAATAATAAAATTTAAGAATAATTTTAATTTATGTAAAAAAAAAAAAATCCGTTGAGAAATGCTCTCAGTTCTCCCCCAGCTCCTTCTGGTATAGCTACCAGAAGAGGCAGTATATCACCTCAAAGTGTGAGCTTCCACCTAAGTGTGCGCTTTATTTATTTAACAGCAGGGTATATATTTTAATTTTAAATCTGAGTTTTATATGCCACTGGTGATAAAAAAAAGCAGCTCTATGGACAGTATATAGTCATAAATGCTGCATTGAATCCAACTAGCACCGATGAATAAATCCTCATTCAACAAATTAAAATGCAATAACCTCCCTCACAGGAGTCACAGTAGAGACACAGTAGTGTTTTAAAGCTGATGTTCGCAGCTCGCTCAGACACTCACAGTAGCAATTGTCCTCCTTAACAACTTAATGCTCATAAAATGAAGCATTATAATGAAATAAATCACCCTACAGTCATTTAAAATATTCAATATCTGCCAGTTGAGAGCCGCTGACTCATAAATTGAACTTGTTTTAGTCTGTCCAAAGGATGATGATGTTGTGGCGTGTAATTATATTTCCCTGCGGCCCGTCTATCTAAGAGCTGGAGCACCCGAACAGAACACCACACCCTCATAACATTGGAAGCACACCGAACATTGTATATGTGATTATTTGCTGTCTGTGCTATAGCCTCACCTCGCCAAAAAACGGTAAAGAGGAAGCAGTGAGCGGACAGACCTGCTCCATGAAGCGCCTGCAGCGGCTCACTGACGATTGCCGTTTCCGTGTGACTCCCTGTAGGTGCTGTGTGTGAAGAACATGAGTGCACAGGCGTCAGTGGCCCAGCTGGTGGCGGTGTTCTCCAGGTTCGAGCCGGAGAACGGGCCTCCAGTCATTTACCGCCTGCTGACTGGGAGGATGAAGGGTCAGGCCTTCATCACTCTGCCAGGTGAGAAACAGTTTCTCACATACAAAAGGTGAGGGAGGGGATGCAGCATCGCCTGAACCCCACCGCTGTGTACCTTCCATTATGCATCACACACTGGGTCTGTCATTACGTGTGTTTATTTTCCCTTTGCAGATGCTGAGACGGCCCAGAGAGCCTTGCTGCTGGTCCATGGATACCGGTTGCTAGGGAAACCTTTGGTGGTTGAGTTTGGCCGTGAGCGACAGGAAGACGAGAAACAGAAAGAGAATGAAGTGCAGGAGGAGAAGAAATAAAAAAACAAAATGAAATCTTTAGTCATGACAACAACATGGATCCTCTGGAGTTGTGAATAACAGGCTGAGATGGATGTAATTGTATAGTATTTATTTTTTCTTCATCTTTGCCAGTTTCATATTAATAAATATCTTTTTTATGCCAAACTACCATTTATTGTGAAATTTCTGGGGTGGAGTTGCAGTAACCTTTTTTTTTTTGTCATCTTGATATTTATTTTAAGAAATTTTGCAAGCAGACTTAAAAATGACATGTCATAAAAATACAAATTATAATAAGAAAAGAACAAATGTAAACAGAAACAAAGAGGAAACACAAGAAAACTTAAGTAATGTCAAAAGTGCAGTAATAAAAACACACTTTTCTGTCTATTAACCCTGTTCAGGTATAATAATAAGACCATTTCTCCATCTTCTATCTTGTATTTAAATATTCCCTTGTAACTTGTCAGAGCCTCAAATGTTCAATAAAAACATTTCAACTGAGATGGTCAACATTTACCATATTTACCTACCAAGGATGAATAATTCTGTCTAAATAAAAGGTTCTGTCATACATTACAGACCTCATTGTAATCAATAAATTCAGGCATGTGATATTAATGAATGAATGAATGAATGAATGCACTCAGATTTACTTTTTTTTTTGTCTGTACAAAGATCACTACAGAGGAGACACAATGTTCAGTTTTCATTTGGGTTGATACACAGTGACTTACAATCAGTGTGCCAGTTCCACTGCTGGGTAACATGAAGGTCAACTGCAGTGATTTTCTAGACTCCTGTTAAAATTCAGTCGTTCTTCTTTTGGACACTAGATGGAGCCATTCAGTCGTTAAAGGTTGGTCTGCTTTTGGAAGAAGACTCGGCCTAAGAAAATATACAGCCACTTAAGTTGAATAAAGTTTCGTGATAAAGACGTAAGTTCAAATCTTATTTTCTGTCATCACACTGATAGTTTTTTATTCTGATTGGTTGAGCAAGAAACCTCAGCCTCCATGCACTCTGTTCTTTAGGGTCAAAAGTTTTACTTATGAAGACCGAACCAGTCTTGTTCTTGAGGAAACTAAAATGTTCACTAAAAGAGACACATTTCATTGTAACAGTTTGCTTGTACATTTTTCATGTTATTTTAATACTGTAGTTGAAATAAAAACATGGACTTTCTTAAAGTCATTATTTTTTTCATTCCCTAGATATCCCGTGCACCAGGAAACAGGGAATGCTCAGTCAGCACTGCTGCTTGTACAGTCTGTGTCTGTGATAAAAAAGAGGTACTCTGGAGAATCTACTGTATGTTTTTGAGATTGTGTTTGTCTTTCTCACAGCCTCAATGTATGTGTGTCCCTCGTCCACTTATCTCTTAGTGTTCTCTCGGTCAAATGTGTGTTGGTTGAACCAGTTCAGTTCCCGACTGTCCCAGACTCTGGTTTCCCTCTGGGTTCAAACACCAGGAGCTGTGGTCTGCAGTATTTTATATTACAATTTCCCAACACAAGGAATAGAAACACTTATTGGTCTGAAAAACTGTTACACCAACCACCTGTAACTAAAGTAATGCAGTGCCCCTAATTTATTGTAAGACCACTCGGACCACATTGCATTTTTGTATCGCCTCTCCCACTGGGATTTTAAAGGGCTTGTAAGGAGACCTGCAAGACCTGCATAAAGCCTGTTGCTTATGTAATTATACTGGTCTCAAGTCCTCTGAGACCCAGGTAAAACAATCTGCACAGACCAAAATAAAGACCCACACTAATTCAAGAACAACCTGTACCACAAATGTCTGGCTGAAAGAGGGTCAAGATCCAGTCTAATGTACTTTTATGTTTAAAGAACCTTTCAAGCCTCAAATAGAAAAAGAGCTACCCCAGTTTTGTTACTGTAAACTGACCCAGTAAGAGCGTGCATTTCAGTCCCACGATTTTCCTGTTGGTGAAACTTAAACTGCATATTGATCGGACTAAAGTAGTGGGTTTGTTTGTTCGGGTTTGTTTGTGTCGATCTTCTGTTTGCCTTCAGTTCAGGGCTGTGATCTTTTTCCCATTCTGAACTGTAAAAAAAACAAAAAAAAAAAAAACAGTCAAATGTCAGAGCATCACCAACAGACTATCTTTTAACAAGTGCCCTATAAAAGAAAGCCCTTCATCTGCCAGTTATTTCATGTTACTACTTTAAACTCAAAATAAAACAAATCAAAACCTTAATTTCTTTAAAGAACCACTTTTTGGACATGTGAAAATGAAACATGTAGAGAAAAGGTAGTAGCACTGTTGACTTGTCAAACACAGGTATAACTAATAATACTATAATGGCTGGTATTGTTATTTCTTTTTCTGCTATGATACATGCATAAAAATTTGTGATGGTAAAAAAGGGGTATGAAAAAAAAAACAAACAAATGGTGTGTAAGAAATGTTTGCATTTATTTCCAGATAAAAAATAACCTAAAAACAATTTTGGTGCTTTGTTTAAAATCAGCTGACAAAGGGATGTTCTACGTCCTGGAAATACAGTATGTCCGTGATGATCAGCAGAGATGTGATGCAAAACGTCGAGAACAATGGAACAAAAAAGACCAAAGAAGAAGAGGTGATGCCTGGACATCATGTGAGAAGAGTTTCATTTTTTTTTTGGTGACGTAAACGTGGAACGCAGAGCTTTACAGAATCCAAACAGATGTAACATTTTCACACTATGATGTTAAGGCACAACAAACTTCTCTGAATTACCATCAGGGAGGCAGTTCAATTTTGATGTAGTTACACTTCATGTGGACAGGCTACTGGATGAACTAACTATTAATAGACTGCAGTGGGTCAATAAAATCTGACTTTCAGGTGATACAGTACCGTGAGAAATGTGTAGGGTTCAGATTAGAAACATCAGGGTTGGCGTTAGTTAGCAGAATGTTTACCGATGCAGCAAATAGTCAAGTGACATTTGAGTGTACTTGCTTTCACTCGATGGTTGAGTATCAGCATTGGAGGGTTTAAATGATTAAAAGTTCCCCAAAGTCTACTCAGTGTCAGTCCTCCTAGAATATAACCAAATGGATGAACGACCTGTGTTTACATTTAAAAATGTCCATGAAAATTTTAGTGTTTTCACAAACAGTGTCTTCAGTTATTTTTCTCATATTTTTTTGTCTGCTTGATTTATCTTTTTACACACGGTTAATATCAATGACAGCACTCTCTACCGAAATTTGTAAACAACACAATAAAAGGGTTGTTAGGTTTTTGGTCATATTCAACATGTGTTAGTTAGTTAGTTAGTTACACTTTTCTACACTTTTTGCTAACAAGGTAATGCAAACACATGTCATTCTGCACATTTTGAAAGTATACAGTCTTCAAAAAAGATACAGAGATAATTGTAAAATAGTTTTTTTGCTGCTCCGCCAGGCATACAATGACAACATTTGATTAAATACACTATATAAATACATTTAATTGAGCGTAAGTTGTCAGAGAGTAATACTTAAAGGTGTGATGGAGTGGCAGTAATCTCAGACATATCCTGTGATGTCATATCCTGCCGCAGCGGGCTTCTTGACTCCCTGGACTCCATGTGTACTCAAGTGGGAGCTGTTGCTGGTACTGCGTACCAGTGTCTGCCCCCTGCTGGGTGCACTGATGCCCCCCACCTGCAGGGTGGGGTTGCGGTAGGTCTGTGAGGTTGTCCGTACACCTATGCCGGGCATGTTGCCTCCTACTGGATATGGATACCCTCCGCCATGCCGTCTCCCACGGCCGCCATCCTGCTCCTCGCAGCATGACACACACAGCAAACCCCCTCCCAGCATGGTAACGAGCGCTGACGCCAGACCAACATATAGGCACTCCCCCAACTCATACTTCATGCTGGCAGGTACATTTGGTCTATAGAAGGTCTGGACCACCTCATGTGTGGTCCACGCCACAGGTATGAGTGCCAGAAAGCCCGCAGTGAGGAATAAGCCCCCGCCAGCACCAGCCACACGACTCTTAACTGCACCTGAGCCCTCCAGGCAAAGAGTGCACTGCATCCCCAGGGTTGACATGGCAATTGCATGGATAGACAGCACTATGGAGATGACCATGAGGGCACGGGCTGCCTGCAGGTCGGAGGGAAGGGCCAACATGGAGTTGTAGGTCTCACACTGGAAGGACCCTGTGCTCTGATAGACACACTCCATCCACAGGCCCCTCACGTTGTTCACGGCCGTGACGATGTTGGAGCCAATGTGGGCAGAAGTCTGCCAGTACGGTAGCACCGTGGCAACCAGGGTGCCCAGCATCCCAAACAGGCCCAGGAAGAAGCCCATCAGCTCCAGAGCTTCTGATGCCATGACCACAACTGTGAGGGAGGAGACCCAAGAGAAAACACAGAGAAAAAATAAACCAAACTGAGCCAGAGACATGCCCGTGGCATGTTGACATTGCAACCCATTCGTCATTACTAGATTATTACATGACCACTGCAGTACTCAAAGGTTGGACCAACCCGTCCTCGAACTCGAAGGCGAAAACAATACCAGCCATGCTTTTGTGGCTGGTAAAGACTGTAGCTTCAGCTTCAGTGATAGGTATGAGTTAACTGGATCAAATTATGCATTTACATTTTTTAAATTTTCCATTTATTTTACCATTTTAATTAATCCAGTGTGGTCCTCTACAGGATAGCTAGCCGTGTGGTCCCACCAAATAAGTTCCTAAGTTAGAGCTATTTTGTGTATTCGCAGTGGTTTGCTAACAGGTGAAACCACATAAATGCTAGCTGAATCAACTGGTGTTTGTATGTAGTTTTATGTAGATGTAACTGCCGGTGAATGTGGCTTCTCGCAGCCATTGTGCCACAGCTTTTTGCTTCTCACTTGGTTTCGCTAAGTGGATATTGCGAGTGTCACAATACAATAATACAAAGTTAAGTCAACATTACACTTATACGTACCACACACACAGAGCCCACATTCATGCATTACCTGAGACTGCTGCTGGTTATGGGAGAGCCAGACGCTGAACTCGTCGAGGATTTGATTATGTTTGATTGCTGCAGGGGCTTAAGTTGCAGCTGGAGAGGAGGATGAGGAGGTAGAGGATGAAGATGCAGTAGAGCTTGCAGCCTGTACAGATTGTATTCACCACTGGTCTTTCTGTTGAACCTGCTCCTGCTTCTTCAGTAGAAAGCAATGTTCTTTTTCTTTTTTCTGTATCAGACTCTGACTGCCTCCTCAGACCTTGACATATTCGCAGCTGTTGTGCTGCTGCTGTACTTTTAAATGGCACTTACTCTGCTTGCTGCATTGGACCGAGGAAGCTAAAAAACACTTTCAGAACATATGCTGTTTTAGAAATACAATCCTTTGTTGAAGTATTGCCTGTTTAGAAGACTACTTAAAGACCCCTACAATGCAGGACAGTAGACACGGTTACAGTCTGTGCTCCTGCACATTGTCTCCCTCCTGACGCCGTCTCTCGTCTGTCTCAGTCAGATGTTCTGCTGTCTTTGTTTGAGAGTGAGATCTCTGCTCCTCATCCAGACCTCCACCTCCTGTCACGTACACGCACACTGATACTGACACCTCTGACAGTGACACACACATCCTCTTTGCCAGCCAGGTTAATCATTCTCTCATCGGTCATTTCTCCAAACCAGACCTTTGGTACAACATCGGCTGCAGCTCGGTCTAAAAACAAAAACTTGAGCAGACCCCTGTAACAGAATAAATGTTTCAGGATCAGTTTCCTGTATAGTTGAGCAAAATCTCTTTCATTAAGCAAAAGATTTGATGGTCACATATTGTATTACCTTTATGAAAAGAAATGAGTTCAGAAAAGGGTTATCCTTTCATGTTAGTAGAAAAAGTATATCAGCTAACTCTGCAGAAATTCCCAAAACTGCTTGTGAGCATTTTCTGTATTTTCAATTAAAATCGGCAGTGAAATACGCCTCCAAGGCAAGGAGGAAAAAGCAAGGAGAAACACTGAAATGCTTTTAAAATAATGTTAATAATTTTAATCTAATTTAATCTAGTTTTTGGTTTATTGATTTTATTTATGGGTTTCCCAATAGAGACATTTCCCACTGTGTGACACATGATGGAGAAGTGGACCAAAGGTAAACAGAGCATTAAGATGGCCTTACTTCAATTGTCATTTTTTTCCTTTCCTATTCCCTCCTTCACTTTCTTTTCATTCACTCAGTCGGATGAGTCATGGCTTTTAGTTCATTATTCCAGTCCATATTCATTTGTTCATTAACTAATTGGTTTATTTCAAATCGTGGAGTAATGCCGTTGACTTGAATCAAGTTTTTTTTCATCCAATCGCAACAACTCAACAATATGTTTTCAAACTAAATTTATCTCTGTCACAAGTCTGTTTTATGCTGCCAAGAGTGTGCTGTAAAATATAAATTTATCATGTATTTTTTTATAATTCATATTTCTAAAAATGATATACAGTCTATGACACAAACTCAGACAACTTTATGTTTTACAGTGTATTTCCAGCAAATATTCTGTTGTTGATCTGAAGGTGCAGCGGTGATTGAAACTATTTTCATAAAATTCCAAGTAAACATAGAGTGGGCTGTGCAGTGTTTAATTATAATCAGTGAATAAACTAATATATTTTCTCTGTCACGCTTCACTTTAAAATTCAATCATTATTCAGTATTTAAAGACAGAATGGGGAATTAGAATCGACAAATAAAATGTACTTTCTATTTTGGTTATTTTTGGTTAACTTTATTAATGTTCATTTAAATGCAAATGTATTACATTAATTTAATCAATTAATTCATCAGGGATTTTGTGTTTGTTTTTTTGGATTACAAATAAACAATGTAAATGTCAAGAATTGTTTTGATGGCACCTTCCAGACTCCATACAAAATATTCACCCTGCCATAATATATTGTGAATTTACAGCTCAATTCAGCTGACACCAAACTTGGCTGCCACTCGTGCATTGTCATCCATCAAATGTTTGCTGGGGTGTCAATTTGAAGACTGCTGGTGCTGAGATCCAATCAAAAACATCACGTCATAAAAACAAATATTACATACCATGTCAGTGTACCCCAGGATGACAGCTGAAGATCTCTTGTAGGTCAGGGAAATTGTCATTTAAGCTGTTTAGGTGTGCCATCGTTGAGTGTATCAGTGTCAGTATTTACAGTCACCCAGTTTGTTGCTGATCTGGATCCTGAAGCTCAACCCCTTTAGTTTCTTATCCCCCCCAACCGGCCCTCACATGGCAGCAGCATCATAATGGGATTAGCGTGTAATCCAGTCACTTCCCGTATGAAGCAGACTGAGAGGGCAACGTCCACACACTCAGAAACACTGAGCCATTATTATAAACCACAGAGGGGCATTATCTGGACACACTGCATATTAATTAGGCAGCACAGGTCTGCATGTGCCCCTTTGTTATACTTTGGTTACTGACTGGTAGTCTCTTACTGTGAATGAATGAAAGGAACATAGAATAACATGATGCACAATGTTAATTAAAACACCATAACCAAACTTTTGTTGGTGAAACTTTGTAAAGTACCCCCAAAACAGGAAATATGCTTTATATGACTGCAAGTATGTTCTAAACATTGCTTTATTAATAAAACTGTAGCCGACGTTACTCAAAGGCAGCTGTCTCTTTACGCCTCATGAATTGAACACATTTTGAGACTTATATCTAGAATTATTGTTTAAATTGGTGTTGGCTTTGAAACCTTCTGCCTGCCTCCTCGATCATCTGCCAGCTAAACTTTCCAAAATCTCAGGCTTTAGGACCTACAATCCTATATGCTGTTAATTTATCACAGGCATTTAAATGAATGTTAAAGAAACACCTCCTACTTATTTAATGTTACCAAGCTTTACAATTTATTTTTTCTAATTATTTATGTAAAAATAATCATAGAAATCTTTTTACTTGTAACTTTTAATCATTTCATTCATTCAGCAATGTACGAAGACAGCAAGCTAGCTGCCCGGGGAGGCAGCTAGCTTGCCCCCAGTGGTCCGTGCCTGAACGATTTACCCCCTCAAAATATGACCTGGGAGAAGGATGCATTTATATGAATAACGGTAGTCTAAGCAAATACACCTTCATAACAGCATCTTAGGAACTTTGTATGTTTGTAAACGGATCGCCAACGACCTGATTTTAAGGGGTTTGAATAGCTAAACTACGTTTCTTTCCCATTAAGTTGCACTCACCAGCTGGAGGGAAACTCTGCTGAAGTGGTGGAGGTGGAGCGGGGGTAGTGGTCTCATCGGTCCCTGTTTTACAGGTGTGGTTGAGTCTGTCTGACAACTAAAAGAAAAAAAAAAAACATAAGAGTAATTTGCAGCTATTACAGACATAAGATTAATAGTATCAAACTACATCTGCTCACAACTACAGTGCAGACAACGTCAAACATACAGGCTACACAGATTACATACAATGCAACGTTATGCTTAAACATAAAGTTAGTTGACATCCACAGCGTTATCCAATGTTAGCTTTGGCTAACACATAAAGCATACTTTGTTCTATGATTACACATTAGTGTTTCACCCCCACCCCCAACCCTTCTTAAAACAAAACAAACAAGATAAGTACCTGTCTAGAAGAAATACAGCCACCATCGCGTCGCTTTTTAGCTCCTCTGTTCCCTCAGTTGTCGTCGCCATCTTTGAAAAGCGAAGTCACCGTTGACTTTTTCGGCCTCTTGCAACGTCCTATTGTATTTACGTTGCAGCTTTTTTCTGCTACCGAGTGAAGCTGCAACTGAAGTCAAAGCCTTAGCTGGAACTGGTTGTATTTTCTCTGCCACTCCTGTGAGTCTTCTTCTTCTTTTTTACCCGTAACTGTCGCTTATGTGACCCCAACGCACGTCTGTCACGGCCAGGGAGGACGCGCTAGGACGCAAGTGGGATGTTGACAGACAGGTAGGCCAGCCAATCATTGCATTCGGGCCAAATGCAATGATTGGCTGGAGCTCTCACACCACCTGTGGCTGATTCTGATTATTAATAGAGTATTTAGAGAGTATTTAATTTGTTAATTTCTATCGGGATATGAAGAGAATTTAAAGAAATGTAACAAAAAGTGTTTCTGAATCAGATTATCCACTCCAGCTTTAAGCTAAATCGGTTATTGAGCCTAACTTGACTGGGTCTTAATAAATTTGATGCAGCGATTGCTTTAACAGTTATTACTATGAATGTATGCTTAAAACATAAAACACAATCATGGTTACTCTTACACTGATATTTAATTTTTTTTTAAACCTTTGTATTTGCCTGTTTCACATTCTGACCAGCAGATGTCCCACTGTTCACATAAAGCTGAAGACTTACCCTCGGTGATTCTTCAAGCAAAGAGGATAAAACAGCCTGGGTATTTTACTCACGGAGTATTTCATAGCTATGTTTCGGTTGACTGTGGCCATCCTGTTTTTTGGCGTCCATATAAACCAATAATGGCGCGAACACGGCCCAGTCCCCGTATGTAGGCTGTCCATAAATGCAGTTTGTTGTCTGCAGCTCAGGTTACACCCCAAACGCCCCGTTTCCTGTTCACCTGACTTCCGATATAGTCACAGGTATGAAAAGTTTTTTGTTTGTTAGCATTTGTTTGTTCCCCAGTTTACTTTTCTTATGCTGGTGTTATTCATATTACTCCAGCAAACACCAAGTCCGGGCTACCAGCTGAAGTGCGGTCCGACTGGTGACCCAAGTCCAACAAGCCACAACCAGGCCATAAATACACCACACATGCGAGACTTGGCCCATTACCAGTTCTGCCATCCAGAATGGCTTTTATTAATTTCCTCCTATTTTTCCCTATGCCAAGCCTTAGATGTAGGATAGAAATGGATTACATGACTGCTCTTTTATTAAATGACTCATTTACACTTTTAATCATTTACTCATTTACGAGGAGATTAGATGTATTACTTACATGAATGTCATGAATTTCCCCTAGGGGATAAATAAAGTATCTATCTATCTATCTATCTTAACAACAAAATAAACAAAAGCAAAGCAAGAATATCTGAATATGAAGCAAAACAAATATAATACTGAGCAGAATGTAATATAGAACAAAATGTGTAGAATATAGAGTCAGTTGGTCTTCGTCACAGTCATCATATAAACTGATCTGGTGTCAATTTATCATCCAGAGTGTGCAGGGTGGGGTCAACCTGTTAGTCAAGGGTCACTTGTTATCCAGTGATGCTGGATGAAGCACAGAGGAGCTCACACATCCTCACACACACAGACACACACACACACACACACACACACACACACACACAGTTCTGACACATGAAGCTTTCGCTGAAAAAAAACATTTCCAAATGCTGTGTAATGCACTGCACCCTGTAACTGATTCATGCAAAAAAAAATTACACTGGAAAAAATCCAGGCTGTATTATAAAGTGTTACTCAACATTTTGTCACAATAGCAGGCAAACAGAGCATTGACTGTAAATGCTTGTGTTCCATCACTACATCAATTACTATTTGCTGTTTCTTTTCTTCGCTATTTGCTATTTGATTGCTTGGTATTATTGTTTCAGTATTTGCTCTTGTTTTAATTTACCTGTTTTTATTCTCTAGTTTTTTGTGACAGAGACATATACTGGAAATCTCACATAATAATCATAGTTGACTGCTCTACAGAGCTATAGAGACCTCTAGTGGTCAAAGGGAGGAAACTGAGCTGTTGTTGGAAAATTCATTGAGAAAACTAACAACAGCAGGAGAGACCTTCCCACAAATATGCCTGTTTTTTTTTTGTTAGAAGTGTATTGTGCCCAAGTATGAAAACTGCATCTGTTGTCATCCCTGCTACCTTTGAGAGTGCAGTATAAAGTACATTGTCACCACTTCATAGGGGGAGGGATGTGGGATATTGTTAGAGAGCTTCTGCATTCCCTCCTCTGGCAGCCAAATGGACTTTATGGGCATGAACTGTCTGCTAAATGACAGGTTTGTGTTGTGGTTGATAACCACAGAAGAGAGCAGTGCAGCAGCTGCAAAACATGCTTCACTGTATAGCATAAAATAAGTTTAGCACTGGATAGTATATCTGCAACATTAATCCTTGGTTGATGATAATAATCACCTTAAACCTGCATTCATTAATCGTTTGACCTCTTTGAGCGGCACAACAACTTGTAAATAGAAAATTAAAATATAATCACCCTCTGTTCGGTGCAGGGCAGGTGTAACAGCTGATGGGAGCAGTGAGACTGAACCAAGCTACAGGCCATTAAACCAAATGAGGTAAAAGATGCTTAAACGCTCTGCAGAGCTGAGGGGAACTGCAGAGTTTGATGGTAAGGCTCTCTGGGTTCATTGTGAGCGACATCTTTCCCACTACACACAGTCATTTGATCCACTGCTATTACAATAATATTCATTAGTGCAGCTTTAACATTAAGTTTTAACAAGGTCAAAAAGATAAACATGTTTCCTTAATGAGGACAATGCACAGGCTGTATTATAGCAAGTACCATAAAAACAAATTATGGGTTTACATTGGTAAATTATGAGTATCTAGAGAGTGATAAAGCACTTTTGTTGTTCTTCATTGGATTTGTACAATGTACTAAGAAGTATTTCTTCCTCAGAAAAATACAATAATATACTCTATAGTGTAGTATTTTCATGTTAATGTTAAAAAAAAGAGCTTTTGTCAGCCCAAATCACCGATATGGTAGGTAAATTAGGTGAATGGGTTCAGTCCTGAACCACCAAGAACAGGCAGCCATTTTCATGCAAGAAAATGTTAATGTCTATTTTCATGTCTACTTTTGAAAATGTTATTGAGAGACAGAAATATTCCTTTAAAAGAATATCTGGTAACTTAGTGACTGAGTAACAATATAGGTAACAGTGTCTGAAATGCCTCCAAAAGAAATTTTAATACAAAACCCAAGCGATAGTTTTTACTTTAAATCATATGGCACAAATTGTACATTATATTACATCATATTGCAATCTGACATCAGGTCAGTGTGTGCAGTGCAGCAGCAGAGGTCTCTATTTCGCGGCACAGCTGTCAAACTGGGGCACTCCCAGGAGCAGACAATCTGACCAATCACAGTGTTTTAAACCCAGCCGGAAAAGCCGAAGACATCCATATAAAAGCTTTTGGCCCCACCCACTGTATAAGGGAAATATACTGAATCGCCCACGCGTTTATTGGTGTTCACGTGTTGACAGTGGCCACAGAGTGTAAACTGTCAGTTTGGTCCTATTATTCTTCCACTCATACAGTGTGGTTCAGATAACTCAAATTCACCTTTAAGTGCTCTATTTCTTGCCTGTGGTCGGTCTCAAATACCAAACTGCATTCAGATTTTTCTCTATTCAATATTTCCCTACTTATTGACGGAAGCACGTAGTACTTTTATCCGAATGAAGATTTTATTATGGGGCATTATGAACCAATTTCCAGTTCGGCATACGCGTACGGTTCTAAACAACTCTTTATTTGCGTAAAATGTTGACTTTTATATTTGCTACTCCAGATGTTTTCCAATTGTATATATGTCTTGGAAGGTGGATGAATAACACAAGGACTCACCCTATAAATGGGGCCTGTCATTTCGAAAAATGTAATTTTGTGGATTTTATTGATGCCGAATGAAAAGATTGCACCGGTAATTGGAAATGGCTTTGAGTCATGCTTCGTGAGTCACCTACTGTGACCGGTAAGTAAGAGCGAGTTTAAATCCCCGCATGTTCAAACGGAGTACGTCACGGGGGATGAGCTGAGCTAGACTGTGGGCTACTCTCGTCTTTCCCACAGGAGGCTCTGCTTCCCAACCCCTTTGTTCAGTCTAGCCGGTGGGTTGAGTCAGAGGGAGGCTGTACTAACCCAACAAACCCATACCACAGTGGGAAACCCGACAAGAGCCAGAGGAGGCCGGAAAAAAAATATCAGGTTATCTGGGAGTCCAAACCGAGACAGTGAGCGTGTTAAATCAGAGCCAGACAAGAGGAAAGTTGGTTTTTAAGTGTTGCTGATGCTGCGTTTCATTTCGGAAACCGTCAGGACCTGTGTGCCAGTGGTCGGCTGCTAAAACAACGACTCATGTCCATTATCTTCTTCGCTCTTCGGTGGCTGCTTTAGCTATCATCCTGAAAAATGTACCGGCGGGCCAACCACTAATATCCATCGCCGGTCTGTTGCTGACACTGTGCAGTTGTTGCCATCACCCACTGATCCACGCTGGCTCTCCTTTCAGTTTCTGCTCAGCATCCATATTTGCATCCCAGGGAGTGGCAGCCGCTGATCCCCCCCTTATTCAGGCAAAGAAATTGAAAGTTGGCCGGTTGTCGGACACCTCACGGACGCTTTAATTTCACACAGGAAGGTGAGTAATTTCCTCTATTAATGTGCTTTTGTGCCATTTTTATTTTTTTTTGCAGGGAGGGACTGAGGGTTTAAGTGAAGGGCAGTCTGGACCACGTTGTCGCAGTAGCTACAACAATGGATCAAACTGGCGTTGTGTTACATTTTGTTGAGGTGCGCATTATCATCCCAACGCCTTCATCCTGTTGTTACTGAAACCAGGTGTCGATTAGAAAATTAATTCAGGCCTATGCACGTATATATACATATATTTATATATATATAGAATAGCTCAGGCTAAATCCCAGCTGTAGACACTCAGAGGCCCTATTTTTGACTTTAGTCACAGTAAAACCATCATTCTCGACAGGTTTAATAGGATTGATTGCTCTAAAATGAATATGCATCATCTGGATGTGAGTAAATAATATGGAAAATGATTAACTAGCTCTGCCTGAAATCTGCTCGCTTTTCTCTCCTAACACCCAGTGTCTAGTTTAAAAGCCTCAACCAGATGTGTGTTGTTTATTGAAGGCTAAAACAGCATTATATTTTCTTAATGGTCTCTGAGCCATGATTTGTAGGCCATGCTCCACTTGGGTACCGGCCTACATTGGCTTTCAGTCATTTTCATACCCTGTGGAAATTGATAAGTTGAGCATGGGAGAATATATGAGGAAGTGGGGTGTTATTAATTATAATAAATTTGCTGTGACAAGTGTAATGATAAAAAAAATATAAGAGTCTTATTGTAATAACATGATTTTAAATGTGCGGTTAAATTCTCAGGTCTTAAATAGTTAACCTGAATAAAAGTGATGTAAAAACTACAACAAAGACTTGTGTAAACTTTCTCTATGCTACTACAATGTTGGGTTTATGATTAATGAGTTGAGGGGTTTCCCGCCTTGCTCAGGGGCACTGCAGAAGCAGTGTAGTAGTGGAATTACCACTATTATAGGGTGGGTAATGTAATGGGCACCCAACAGAAATATGAACATAAGGCACAGTGTTTTTTTCTCTTACTGCTACCAATGAAGCCTCCTACATTATTGCTGCCAATTGGCAATGTCATGGTGAAGCACTCTGACTCTTGAATGTAAACAAATCCCAATATGGTGCTTTGTCTTTTTTGTTATGATAAAATAGGGATGAAGACAAGACATACGAACTGAAGCAGCATAACAATCACATCAAGGTTTCTTGTAAACCCGTGGTTCCCAACATTTTTCTTATACTTGTCACTGTTTACGGACCATGTGTCACCACGACTTGAGACCAGTTCATCCAAAAATAGATTTCTCTTCTTCAAGCTTCTCAGATTGTTTCATCTGGAGGATTTTCAGTGGGCTGAAGAAGTAGAAGTATCCAGGATGTAACAAGGAAAAAGAAAACATGAGAGTCACAGATTTATCTAGTGACTCACCAGGAGGTCCCGGCCCCCAGGTTGTTGCTGTTAGCTGATACTTCAGAAAACTAAAGTATGCACAAAATGTAAAATATGGTCATTTCCAAGTAATGAGAAGATTGTGAATTGCATAAATCTCTAGATAAATACTGTATATTTGCTGCGTTTTGCTTTACTGCACTGTTCAAATATTGTGCACCCTGTCATCTTCCATAATCTTAAAAAAGGAAAAAAAAAGTGTTGTCCATTATTCTGCTTTGGTGACACACAAGCATGCACTCGAAGCGTGCATCCTTTAAATCAGGCCTCATTCTGCTTATTTGTCCATTATTCTGTTAATCGTTCCCACATGTGTGACCGCCTTATCCCTCCTTTCTCATCCCAGCAGCTAAACATGGAGAGCGACAGCCACCACTCCCACATCTAGTGCCGGATCCACAAGCCTTCATCACCCAGGGAGGAGCTCTCAGGTCCCGGCCCGTCTCCCTGCCACTGTAGAATGAATATGCTCAAGTCCAGCGGACTGAAAATCCCTGGCCGTGGGCCCAAGCATTCCAGCCCAGTGGGAAGGACCTCAGCGGGTGGAACATCCAGCCCCGTCGTCCCTAAAGACAGTAAGTTACTTCCTTCTCCTGACCCCATGGAAAATAAAAAGAATTTCTTTCTCCCAGTTGTTTCTCCTCATCACCGGAAGTGGGTTAGACCATTTATTTGTGTTAATGACTCACTATAGCTCAGCTGCATTACATTAGACGCGCACAGAAGCCGGGAAGTGTTTTCTTTAACTTCATCTTCCAGTGTATTTGCAGAGGTCTCCAGTTCAGCATTTTCTTCTTGTTAGCTTTCAACAGCTGGGATGGATTCCACACTCTCTCCATTGAAAAGAATCTATATTTATATTGAAAAGAATAAATCATCATTCTAAAGCCATTAAAATTTGTCCAGCGTGGCCAATTTTTGGTTCAGTTTTCAACTGTCCATTTCATACTTTGTGCAGTGTTTCTCTTATGTGGTGATTTTGTTAAGCTCCACTAATTTATCTTGTCGTAAAAGCATTGGACTGAATGACTCTTAAGTGTGAAAAGATGACAAACAGAGAATTACCCCCTTGGCTCCACAGTGCATTTTAGCATCTTTCAGCTCATTGCTTTGGTTTAAAGGGCCAACAACTTTACTGTCACTAGTTTACTGTCACCGCACCTGTTTTCACTGAACACACACCAAACAGAAGACAGACAAGGTCTCAGCAGCACATAGCTGCTAAAGAGCTAAATAGAAGTATGTGGAGACAGAACAGAGGTAAAAGGTTCATCAGGAGGCCAGAAACATCATGTTTCTCCATGCCTGATGGATGTGTAAATAAGCAACTTTCTGCTAACATGTTTAGTATATCATCTTCAAGAGGTAATAATATATCAGTGTTATGTTTACAGCTTGCTGTGCTGCATGCTGGTGGTCAAAAATCTGTTGATGCTGCTGAAAATCAACATTGATAAAGCACCAAATGTGTATTCATACACAGCTGAAAATAGTCCCCAACAAATGCACTGTTTACTCCTGTTTGAGTAATGTTTGCTAAAAACTACAGAGCCCAGCTCATACAGGAAATAAATGTAGCCCTTTTTAAGATTTGAAATGATATATTCATGATCTTAAAGATTTATATCCTCAGTAGGAACCAACTGGCTCTGAGTTGAGTGCTACAGATACGACAAGAAAGCTGGAAAGTATCAAGAGAGACTGATGCATTGTGGGTTTTGGTCCTTTAATGGGGGTTGCTAACAATAACAACAATATAAAATACCACTAGGCTTATAACCTGAAATAAAATGGTAAAATGTGGACACACGACTTTGTTATACGTGACTTTGACCTTACAGCTACTGAAAAACTGAGCACTAACCGAAATTAGACATTTCTGAAAAACACTCAGAATGAAAATTACAACCCCTGTCTCCAAAAAGTAATCACAGCTGCTCTCACCCTGAAATGCAGCCGCACCGTTTGTCCTCCCCAGTCCCAGCTCACATGACAGCCCCATCCCGCCGGCTTCTCACACGCACACGTTAGTTCTGTTTCTGCTAAATTACAGCGTCACTCCCAGCTGAAGCGAGCAGAAGAATAGCCGGCCTTCTTTGGCTGATAGTGTGCTCGTTTCTCATTAGCATCAGAGTGTATGGAAGGCCTTTTATCAGAGGTCGCTACAAGTGTGTCGTGATTTATGTCGATGGAGGGGAGGGAAGAAAAAGCGCAGTTATAGGTACACAAGCTGTTCTGACACAGGAAGTGTTTAATTTTCTGAATCTTACACTGTTTCTGACTGACAGCAATGTTATTAAATATTATGTTACAGTAATGATTTTCTTAGTTTTAACTATCACAGGGGCAGACCTGAGCTGCGTGGAAAAGAATTAAAACTGCTTGCAAGTGACTTCTCTCCTACTCCAGTACATAATTGTTTGAATGTGAACAGGAACGCTCCCTCTGCATGCTGTGAATAGTGAATTAAATATAGTTCTTAGATGAGAAGGACATTTAAACCTCTTCTGTTTCAGCCTTGAATATTTTTTGCTGCAAGTGAAATAATAACAGGATATGAATAACAGTACAAAATTGTGTTTTACCAAACGGTTCATGGCTGTAAATCTGTGAGCAATCCAAACATAATAAGCAGATTCTATACTTCTACGCTTTGCTAAAGCCATTTATGAGCATTTTGAAAGTGAGAGCAAACACACATTGCTTTCATACATCTGTCCTAGTTGTTTGATATTTGGCCTGGAGGTCATTTTTGTTTGTGTCTATGTGGAGGGCATCACAGCTCAAACTGTGTCTGAAATCACCCTGTACTCATCCATTACCAGCTCAAAAAGCTAATCCTCTAATGTTGCAGGCAGGACTGAAGCCTGTTGCCCAGGGCCTGTCAGCTGTTAGGTAGCCGTCCATAACGTGACGAAAGCTCATCTAAATTCCTTCTTGCCTGTGGTTTTTAAACAGTTTGTCTCGACCGTACATGAGCTCATTAGTTTTCTCACATCCTGTTTATCCACAAAAGAAAATAACACAGGCAAGATGGATGCAGCACTGCTCTTTGTTCCCACTGTTGTATTTGCTGTGTGAATTTTCGACCAGTCAAAAACCCGTTGAGAGTGTCTGTAGTGCTGTCATAGACATCATCGCCAATAGGGATAATCAATCAAACATTTTAACATGTTAAAATGGCGCTCCCAAATGACCATTTGAGGATATCAAAAACGTCAGAAAGGGAACTGTGAACAGTGTTAAATTCAAGATATCTCCAATGTAGTTTTGACTAGTCCTCTCAGATATGTACAATTGAATTTTGAATAGTAGTATTTTACTTTTAGACATCCAAAAAAGACAAGATAGATATATTTTAACGTGCTGAATCACAGATATCTAATTGAAATTTTGTCTAGTCAGAGCTACACTGGAGATATCTTGTTGGTATCTTTAAATAGGCTCTCCACCTATATTCAGACTAGTAACTAGTCTGAATATAGGTAGAAATATCTCAAATTTCCAGTTCAGTCCAGTTTTATAGGTGTATTTCAATGAACCTAACTGTTTTTAATAAGAGGATGTTTTGTACCCATAATTATTATGATTAATTCATGGTTTACCTCAACTTGGCAGTAAAATATTGGTGGGACGACACTGATGCCTCAGTGAGGACATGGAGGGATTATTTTCTTGCCCCAGACAGTCTAAACACTGACCTGGCCTCATGCTCCAAATCTCAGCCCCGTTTGTTAGTTTTAGCTGAGAAGACTGTGAGAAGGGTCCACTGTGTCGGAAGTTGGCAGAGTTTGTTAAATTTAAAGAATTGTTTAAGCTCCTTGAGGAAGCTGTAGTCGAGGAATGAATGGAGGAAAGTATAGGAGCCTTTCTCAGGCTGCTTTTTGAAGTGAAAATAACAGAGCTGTGCCACCTCTCGTGATGCCACGTCTCCTGTGAACCCCCGGGAGCTAGTTTCTCCACAGAAATAGCTCTGCTGTAGTTGTAAGCTTGTTGCCTTTTTGGAGGCATACAGCTTTTTCCATTTGTTCAAAGTTTTCCTACTGTACATACGGTACATGTACTTACCGCACCTCAAATGACAATTTGTATAAATCCACTAGTTATTTGTTCCCTTTTCATTTTCAGCTTTAAATCATAGCTTACAACAGCAAGAGAGTGGAAAGATGGCAAAGAGGTGGGTGACATGCAACCAAGCTTCTAGACTGGATTAAATCAGGACATGTCGGGTGAACTGTGTGTTTTGTGTGTGCTTTCCATATTGTTGCATAGCGTTTGAAATCCTGGACAGTTGGATTTAGTCTTGATTAGATTTATGCTGTAATGCTCCCTGGATGGCCCCATATTCCCGAGTCAACATGCACGCTACAAAGAAGATGTGCTGTATTTTATTGCTCAGAGCGTTGACAGCTGTTTCCAGTGTTTGTGTTAGTTAGTATCAGGGTTACTGCTAATAAATAACTTTTATATGATAAGATAGTCCTTTTATTTGTCCCACAGTGGGGAAACTTGCAATGTTACAGCAGCAAAGCGGACAGTAGAAAATAAGAAACTGCTAAACATAATAATATAATATTTGCAATTTATCTTTTTTAGGTCATTCTTCATGGACAGCAACTAAAAGTTACAACCTAATACCATATTGGGAATTAAATGTTAGCAAATCAGTTGATATGCAATATGTGAATTTGCACCATCAATCAAAAGTTTCTCACCATCAACCAAGCGTTTAGTTACTCATCGTCCGCTGTGTTGTTTCTGCGTATATGGCGTCACAACTCTGCAACTCGTGTGCCAAAGTTTTTATTGACTTTCCAAATTGTTGTTCCGACTTAATGTGAATTTCCCAGTCAGAAGCTAATTTCTCAGATTATTCCGACACCACATGAATGCACAGTTAGATTCATGTACCTAATGGACTGTACTGTGTATCAAGCTATATATTGTGATGTAATGAAATTAGGAGGAAATTTATTTGAGAATTTTAGATAATCTCATGGGAATATGTGCTTTTTGAGTAGTCCAGTGAATTCAATAAAGTACATGACAAATCAGTGCACTTCATCACAGTCCTGTAGATCTAGTGTTACCATAAATCCTAAAGTCCTGTGGTGATTTGCAGCATTATCCACAATAGTCTAATACAATAGATATTAAAGGGAAAGCTACATCAGCAGAGACAGTAGAGAGTTGTTAAATAGCGGATTACACACTCTATGTTGTGGTATGTTCTGCACACATAAGACAACACTTTGGGTGTTGATTTCCTTAATGTGTAAAATGATATTACCTGAAAACACTGAACATTTGAAAGCAGCAAGTAGAAAAGAAGTCAAAAAACATTCAGGCTCAACCCCCTCCATCTGTTGTTGTCCGCACTGCTCGGCCATACACAGCTGCCACAACCACTGCTGGAGACAACAACACAATATCAGCCTTGACTAACTGATGATAAGCCCCATTTAAAACCAAACAAAAAAAAACCAAACATGTTAGGCAGCGAATATGATTGTCATTGTGGGAAATGATCATAAATAAACAGAGTTAAAGAGGCCAGAGAAAGAGGTGTGTGTGTGTGTGTGTGTGTGTGTGTGTGTGTGTGTGTGTGTGTGTGTGTAACCAAAGTAGGGAGAGATGAGGGGATAATTGGGGGGAGGAGGAGGAGGAGGAGAGGGGGGGACGGGAGGAAGCTGTGGAGGTTTCATTGTGCAGAGCTGATGAATAGTGGGATTCAGATGGTGGTGGGAGGTGGCCAAACACAATAGTGAAAGTAAGGACTGTGTTTCCAGTCTTCCTTCTGCCGAGGATCCTTTTACCCTCATTCTGCTGTTGCCTCAGCAACACAAATCATGGGTTAGCTCAGGTTTTAAATGCTACACAGGGTTCTGCTGCTCTGCATCACATGTTGCATCGGTTGAACACTTAAGAAAATCGCTTTATAATTAGTATTAGAAGTCATACATAATGTTGCCAAGGGCTGAATTTGTTATTGGCCCGTATTAGTTCATTACAGCTATATTGGCTTCAGTATATGTTTACGCTGTGTCATTATTGATTTTTTTAAACACCCAAATTGATATCTGCCTCAAAATATTCAGTATCCGTCAGGCAACATTATCAAGGTTCCTCATGGGAAATGTAGTGTTCTTGGATCTAACGTTACAGTATCTCTGAGGCATCGATTTTGACTGTTATTTTTTTTTTATCTGTCTCTTGCAAGTCTCCCAAACTTTATGCAAGTGCACTTCTAAACTGCTGAATACTTTTATATCGCACTAGAGAAAAAGCTGGGTTTGCTCATGGAGTAGCATGAATTTGTAAAGATTTATATAGTACTGTATGATATGGGAACTTATGCTGCAAAGTTTTAATTTGATCTTAAGACTTTGCTTTACTGCAGAACTCTCGATATTTGCTGATTAAAGGCATTTTTACTGATCATAAGTTTCAGTGATATTAGTTTGATCCATAATTTTTTTTCTCTTTCAGCTCAGTTAATTTGGACATAGTGAAATTAAAGTCAAGATGAATTGTGATATTGGACCGTGACCTTGTAAACAAGGTTTCTCTGGTACTTTGGATAGAGAACATGATGCACCAACAGACAACACTGTGGAATATGGGTCACACACAGACACTGATGCTATATGTCAAACATTCATTTTGACACATTACTGATCGATTAGGGACCTTAGTGCTCCCATGTTGTGCTCGTCAATATCTTTAGTTCATCTGTGTGAAAAATGAAATGGCACAAAATGCAGAAAATGATGAAGAAAATGTATATGCACATGTTTTCCCTGATTCAGACAAAAGCAAGTGTGCCACACATTTGAAAATGTTTCCTGCAGGATTTTCCAGTTGTGCAGTTAATCTTTGAGATGATCACTTGGGACTGACGAATTTTTGATTTTCCCCCCAAAATAAGCATCCACCAGAAGCGCCACATTCCTAAAAACTTTTGAACTGTATCATCAAGATAAAGCCTCTTTGAACTTGTACTTGTTTGCATTTGCGCGAACGCGCCTCACATCACAACATATGGGAGCAATTGGGGCGTAAAGCAAAACCACTGGGGCCCGCGGAGCCCCAGGCCCTCTCTCAGGGTGTCGGGGAGACAGCCCTGGCACCAACCATTCCTGCACAGACACACACATACAGATAAACTCAGACTTTTACTGGCAGTGCGGTGCAGCAGACCGCGTGCTAATGGTGCCCTGCTCAGTTTACAGGCTGCTGTGGAAAACGCCAGAGATCCAGCTCATCTATGTGTCAAACAGGCGATATCACGGGGCTGCATGGCGGGGTTAATCACCGGCACATCACAGATACCGTCTCTCTGACCCACTTTTCAGGAGGAATTAGAGTAACGCCTAATCTTGCACAAACTGCACTGTTATGCTGGATGCTGCCACACAAGCAGTTTTTTTTTTTTTAGCCAGCATGACATGGTCAGACAGGATGAATGGTGTGAAGGCGATCCTGCTGGACTGCGAATGAGGATGTTCTCACAATGTATGCACTGTTTACTACTTGAAAGGGCCCTTAGCTGATTGAAAGCATTGATTTCATTTCAATGCACTTTTTATAACATCATTTTATTTCAGTAATGTTCATAGTTTTTGTTACGTCAACACTTAAGCTGCCCTGGAAAGTGGTAAATAATCCATGTTTCTCTTTTTCCCCCCAGACACTCCACTGAAGCCCACCACACCAACTAAAATCAATGAAGAGGGCGATGATGTTTTGGGCGACTACACAGTGGGTGAACAGGTCTGGGTCAACGGTGTCAAGCCGGGAGTTATTGCCTACCTAGGGGAGACCCAGTTTGCTCCAGGACAGTGGGCAGGCGTGATACTGAATGACCTAGTTGGCAAAAACGATGGTTCAGTGGGTGGCGTGCGCTACTTTGAGTGCCAGCCCCTCCAGGGCATCTTCACGCGACCCTCGAAGCTCACCCGACAGCCGGTCGGAGAGGGTAGCGACAGCCACTCCACCGACTCGCTCTCGGCCCAGAATCAGACTCAGCAGGGCGGCAGCGGCGCCCCACCTGGCCAGCGGGTGGTGGTGCCACTCAGAGAGGGCCTTCTCAACAGCGCTGTGAAAACAGGCAACGAGTCGGGGTCCAACATGTCTGACAGCGGTTCAGTAAAGAAAGGCGGAGATAAGGATCTTCGAGTTGGAGATCGAGTTTTGGTGAGTGACTTTGTGTTGGATGACAAATGGTTCATTAGACGGGGGTTCCCTCTACTCATAGGGTCTGTGGAGAAGTGTTGAATTTTAAGAATTTAATTCCTGATAAAATCTCTCTGGTAGAGCAATATCAAGAGACTGAAGAAATGGGACATTTTAGGGTATGTAGCAGAAGGTATTTTTGATGGAACGGGATTGTTTACACATCAGCATTCCAGGAAATTATTATTAAAATATTCCCACAAATATCAGTTATGGGAATGTCTTATACCCAAGTGGCTTGATGGCAACCTTCATAGGTTGTTGGTTTTTTTGTTAGAGATTTCTCACCCATCCATCACTGTCTGTACCTGCTTATCTTGTGCAAGATTGCCAGGTGTGGGGGAGTAGGTTTCGTGGGTGGGTTGGGTGCTGCGAGAGACATGGTTCACCCTGGACAGGTGGCCAGTCTGTCACAGGGCCAACACACACAGACAGACTAACCTGCACATCTCTGAGCCATTACCGAGCTTGCAACATACAAATTAAAATGTAGTAAAGATACCGACCGTACCACCAACACTAACATACTGTACAAGAACAACCAATATAAAGACGAGCAACATGACAGAGTTAATAAAAACAATTACAAGAGTCATAAAAACGCCAGAGAGGCTTTAAAATCCCCAAGAACCGTGAAAGAATCTAGTTCAAGGGCAATTTGCAGCTCAGGCTATTTAAAAGAAGCACAGCACCTGGAACTTCTGCCGAGGTTAGTGCATATATATTGGGTGTCTAAGTGTTATGTGTTTATTGGATCATACAGTGCAGTTACAAGATATAATGAAAGGAGATATGTCTGGTAGCTTGGAAGCTTTAGTACCAAATCAAAATGAGTTGTCCTGTAATTTTCAGTGCTGTAGTGTCGGAACTGAACATGGTTTAAGGTTTTTAGTGGGTAAATGAAAGCAGTTTCTGATTTGGATATGCAGAGAATTATTTAACGCACACATCCAGCAGCCACACTGGCATTCACTTGGAGTCATATTTGTGTCCGCTTGATGAATGTAAAAGCAACATTCACACTCCTGTTATCTCTGTTTTGGTGTCAACCATCAGTTTTTATCATGTATTTGTTGCGTAAGAGACCCCTTTAATATTTGACATAGTTATTTGATTCAGTGTTGATATAAAAACATATTGATTAATTCATGTTCCGCCTCTGAATGTTGTACATGTTTAGGTAATTCCTTACAGCATTATTCAGTAATACTATTTGACACACTCGCTCTCTGGTGGTGAGTTAGATCAATAGATCGACACCACTTTCATATCTGTCTAATAGCCAGCAGCCAGTTAGCATAGCTTAGCATGAAGACTTGAAACAGGTGGAAACAGCTAGCTTGAATCATCCCATGATAACATTATCCTCCTACCAGCAGCTCTAAAGCTCAGTGATCAACATGTTACGTCTTGCTCGTTTGATCAGTACAAAAGTATATGTAAAGACTTCATTTCACCATTTTATGGGGTGTAATGCGAGGGATTTTTTCAAAACGGTGATTTCAGTTTTTTGGATTAAACAAACAAGACATAATGTTTTAATTAGTGAGCTCTGTTTCCAGTTTTTGTGCTAAACTAAAATAAGCTAAGCTAAGCTAAGCTAACCAGCTGCTACCAAATAGATATGAGAGTGGTATCTTTTCATCTAACTCAGAAAGTGAATAAGAGTATTTCCCAATATGTTGAACTAAACCTTTAAATCATAGCCCTTAACTAGTGTGAATAAAAATACTTTCACTATCTATATATATATAATTTAAAGTGTTTTTTACTGTAAATATTTGAGACTAAGAGAATCTATAGTAGCTCAAAATAGACGACATTTCCACTGGATGGCTAATTACAATTTCATGCTAGCCTTAGTGAAGATGGATTGGTGTGGTGTAATACGATGCATGGTTGAAGCCCACAGGGAAGTTCTGTTTTTCTTTATTCTGTCTAGTGCAACAATTCAACCTTCACCCAACTTCACCCTATTCTGCAATTGCACTACAAAAACTGGTAATAAAGTCATAGCATGAAGGCTAGCATGTGAACCTCTGTGGGAAGCACATTTTTCATCTGCTTTTTGCTTATTTTCCCATTAGTGTGTACAATGTTCACTGCATGGAATTATTGGCCCCAGGGTCACATTGCTTTCCATTTACTGATGGGCACAGGGGATAGTTACATCAGATCCTGCGTAGTTGGAAACGAGGAGCTGGAGAAGCCTTCCTATACTGGTCAATATTGTAAATCACTCCGGATTACTTTCAGCACTTAAGAGAGGAGAGACCACTGCTGACACATTGATCAGTGAATCCATCTATTTCCTAAGCCTCTCCCATGTAATCTATCTTACTGCGGTGGCGTGGATGTGCTGCCATCCAGTTGTCTCACACCCCTCCTCTGCTGCTGGAAATACAACACTGCCTCAAAAAAATTTTGTGAAATGAGCACAAAGTCTGAAACTCAGATTACACGCTGTGGACACAAAGCAAAGACTATTTTTCTCTACTTTTTTGTTGAACTATGAACAGGAGAGGGTCTTTTTCTTGAACCAGAGGCATCCTTGACACTTTGACCTGCAGAGGAGTGATCCTGAACAAGGTTAAACTTTGCTGTTATGTGTGTGTTCATGACTAAATTATCAAAATTTTTTTTACAAAAATGAACTGCAAAAATAAACAGAGAGAGAACCTCAGAGGCTAAACACATGATTAGTGTTTCCATTTGCTTTGGCACCTTTTGACGTATGAGCACCACAGGAAGCACAGAACTGCCTCTTCTCTGCTAGCTTTGGTGTTTAACCAGAGGCCATCTAAAGGAGTGCTTTCTTTCAGTGGGGTTGCATGTGATTGTGTACTTTGAAAGTTGCTCAAAGGGCCGCTAGTCAAAGTAATTCTCTCTTCACACAATCACAACACAGCTGTATTAGGATCAATTGGGTGTACATGGAGTTTAAATTATTTAACTAAACAGGATACATGAGAAATTAAAATGAACTCACTCTAAATCGAGTTTCATGCAGCCTGCACTATGTAAATGCGTAAACCAACCAGCTAAGATTTCATTGGCTGATTCACTTACAATGACTTAATTCAAAACAAGTGTCATGCTTTGTTGTAAGGAACAAGAATAACCATGCTGGTGGCTCTGTGGTGCTGTACTATGTCACAACAGTGCTTTGAGCTAAATGCTAATGTTAACATGCTAACAGGCTCACAATGAGTGCTAACACACTGGTAGGCAATTGTAATGTTAACCATTTTAGATTAATATGCTATTAAATGCTGACATTTGCTAATTATCATACAAGCAAACAAACAAAGCAAACAAAGATTATGTTAATTTTTTCTGATGAATCGTTTAGGATATGAAATTTAAAAAACTGAGAAAAAATATCCATTACAGCTTCCCAGACCCAAGGTGATCAAATATCTTGTTTTATCCAATTAAAAGTCAAAAACCCAAAGATATTATTCAGTTTACAGTGATATACAAGAAACTCAGCAAATCCTCTTATTTGCTAGAAAAATTACTAAAAGTTAATTGGTTATAAAATAGTTGCATATTAATCTTCTGTTGATTCGAATCAATGAATTGACTAATTGTTTCACCTCTAATTAGCACTACACACAAAGTGCTGAGGCTGATGGAAATGTTTTTAGTTTTGCAAGTATTAAGTCATAAATGTGTTGCTAGAGAAAAAAACAGGGTATCACCCAAGCAGTTAGCATTCGTGGTCTGGAAACTATGAATGTCTGCACTAAATTGTTTAGCTAGTCCATCCAATAAATGTTAAGATATTTCACAGGATAAGTGAAAACTTTGACCTGCTGCTGGTGTTCGAGAAAAACTCAGGGAATCATCAAAGTCAGTAGGCTCCATCCTGTCTGTGCAAAATCTCATGGTGATCCATGCAATAGTTGTTCAGTCGCCCGACTGACAAACCAGCTAGCATGGCTCAAACCTCATAATCAGAATATATGAATTAATCAAATATGTTTGCATTTGTGGTCACAAGAAATTCAATGAGGTTTAAAGTTTTAAGTTATAGCAGTTTATATTCACCATAGTATTTTTCAATAGAGACAGAGATACCTGGAGGATAATGCTTGAGGTACAGATTTAGCTCTTGCACCATTTTATCTTCACCAACTTTTGCATGCAGCTTTTGGATGAGATTGGTAACAACAGGAGCCAAGATGGGGGCTTGTGCTGAATGCCTGTCTTAGCACTGCTGGTATTTTGACACTGAGTCACTGAGACATCACACAGTCATGCTGACAGCAAACCATCTCAGTTTAATGTCTGGTGACACAGTAGCGTTTCTAGCTACGCTTTCCTCTTTGGCCTCTGCAGTTGAAGAGAAGGACAAGTCAGCGGAGGAGTGGAATATTAATTTGACAATAGAAATCTGAAGAGTGACTCACCACACCCTTTTTTTTTTGTTTGCACTTGGATTTTGGGTCCATGTTAAATCCAGTAGACTCTAATATCCATTTATACACAAGACCAGGATGCACTCCAGAACAAGATTCACTTTTTTTTTCATGGTGCATGTTTGGTAATAAATGTTAATCTGTAAATAAGAGCAGATGTGGTACAAAAACATCTGGTGCTGATCTTTGCAATTTCCCACATCCTGCACATTCTGTACATTAATTTAACAACAGCCTGGGATTGGGAATCTTATAATGTAGTTAGAGAAACCATTAAAGATAATTTACTTAGTAATCTATTACAGGTGAATGAAGGCAATTAATTAGTTGGATGATTAAAATAGAAACAAGGGAGAGAAAATGTTCTTTGGACAAAAATGTCAGATGAGTAATTTTAAGAAACGATCAGAGAAATCAAATGTAATCAGACTTAATTACCACAGCATCTTGTGCTGTGTCAGGTCTGGCTGTGTGTGTGTTTGGTATCTTATTTCTGTGACGGTTGGTGTTCCCCTTAAAGGAAGTTGTGGGATGTTCCCACATGCTGATGAGTTCTTGTGTCTCATACATGTGGTCGCCATGTGTGAAAGACATTCAGCTGCTGGACTGGTCTGTTTTGCACGCTGGCTGACCCAAGTGGCAGAGTGAGTGTGTGTGTGTGGATTTCAGACTGTCTTCCTAACAGGAAACTGACTGTTCGTGACTTGGATGTGACAAAAGCCGATGTGGCACCCTAAATATATCAACGAGGGCTGATGGCTCTCCTTTCGAATCCGAGTTCACATTTCTAGAGATAACTTTGATGAAATAAAATGAAATGTAGTTACAAATAATCTTATCGTCTTATAATTTATCCCTTATTTTGTCAGTTCCCTCTGTTGTGCTTTAATAAATTGCTAAAGTCTTATTCAGTGAGAATGGATTCATGTTCGGTGGAGGGAACAGCTGAAACTATTTATCAGATTCAGTTGATTGGCAGGAAATTAATCAGCAACAATCTTGATAATTTATCAAGGAAAATAAGTATCCTCTAGTTTCAGATTCTCAAATGTGAATATATGCTGTTTTTTTCTTTTTTTATATAATTATAAACTCAATATATTTGCGTTTTGAATTGTTGGTAAAATGAAACAAGTCATGTGAAGTCAACACCTTGAGCTGTAGGAACTTGTGAACAGTGTTTTCATTATTCTCTGACAATTTATAGACGATTCACCAAAAAAACTAAACAAAAAAACCCCTCAATAACTAAATTGATGACGAGAGCAAATTAAAGAATATCCAGCTGATCTTTACAGAAGCTATTTGTCCGGTCCTGTGACCTCAGGTGTTCGCTGTGTATCTCCTGTATTTCTAATGATTTACACAGTCTAAACTTAGAAGCTGTGCAGATCACAGTGAGCCACTGCCAGCCAGGGCGCTGTGCAAAAAAAAGCCAACAAAAACGTATTATGCACACCTTGTGCTGTCTCCGGGAGACAGATCATATCACTAGAGCCTGACAAATATATTAAAGGGATATTAAAAGTTGGGCATTATGAAAAGAAGTGTCATAAGAACACAGTTTGTCCAGCAGGCTCCAGCACAGGAGGAGGTGGCAGAGTAACGTATCACAGCTGAGCAGACAGTGGTGGTGAATCAGAATAAACTCATTGTTCAGCTGCATTAATCAGTTCTCTATGTCTATAAGTGCGACAGTGTGCACAATACCAGCACCCTGATATTGAAGTGGCTAAATTAATTCAGCCATCATTAATTTTAGGCATTCAGTCAGTCAGTCTCAGATTCATCTTTAGGGGGGGGGGGCATCCAAAACAAACACTGTCATAATCATGACTGATGTGTCATTGATGATAATGGTAATTAAATTACTGCTTGGTCCTGTATATGGGAAATGGAGCCTGACCAACACTGGTTTTTGAGGCCAGTATTAATGTTGATATTTAAGAGTGACAAAAATCAGATGGTAATATATACATTCCCCATGATTTATCTTCTATATAATCATAACATTTTTTATATGGACCCTTTAAATGTGTTTATTAGATTTATGACCAAGATGAACTAAGCAGGACAGTTTGCAGGTGGAAAAATACATTAGTCAGTGCTCTTTGGTGGAAAAACTGTGTAATGTTGACACTGTTTCAAAACTAAATGTATCTCACATCTTCAGCATTTCTCTGTTGCAGCTTCTTTCAGGTGACAGCTACACAGATTTTTTGCACGTCCAAGTCAAGTCTCAAGTCTCTTATGGCTGTAATGAGCATTTTATCATCTGCTGCTTGCTAGCCGGTCTGCTAAGAACACTGCACTGCCATGTTTAAGGAATTCAAAGCATGTACTGCATTATCATCACTCCTTTATCTATAAAGTCACACATGATAAGGGAGGGAATGACATTCAGCTCGTCAGACATTTCCTTAATGTTAATGCAGCAAAGAAAACACATACATAAAGATTGTTCATGAGACCCATTCAAGTCTCAAGTCACTGTGTGACCAACTAACCTTAACAAAGTTTTTTTCAAAATAAACTGTGGTAAACATTTTGTACCAAGAGAGGTGGCTACTAATAATGTACCAAACTCGGTGTTGATTATTCTTTCACAACATCCTAATATGACGAATTTAATTGTCTCTATGTTCATGTCATCACTGAACATGTTAACAGTCGCATCTTTTCCCTCTGTGTCGTCAGGTTGGAGGCTCAAAGATGGGAGTCATTCGCTACATGGGAGAGACAGACTTCGCCAAAGGTGAATGGTGTGGGGTTGAGCTAGATGAGCCCCTGGGGAAGAACGATGGTGCAGTAGCTGGAACAAGGTACACACACACACACACACACACACACACACACACACACACACACACACACACACACACGTTATGTATGCTTCAAGCTCCCCAAATTCCTTTGCTTTTTCCCCTAAAAGGAAATTGAGGTGAAGACTGTGGATCCATCTATTCAGTTGTTTGTTCTTTCATCTGTTCATCCATGAAATCACACTGACTGACCCTCAAGGTCAGAGCTGGTTTTCACAATGTTTATCACATTCATCATATTTATGATTTACATGTATCCACACGTTTTTACAGTGGTTGAAAACTGTTTAAAATGAGCGAAATACTGTAGGTTTACAGACGTTTGTGCTGCTTGAATTTTAGAGCCAAAGGACAAAAATGGAAAAAAGTTGTCTAAGTAGCTCAATCACTCACACTCATTCTTTATGAAGAAGTCTAAGTCCAAATGCACCTCCTTTTTATACTTTGGTCTAATTGTTCCAAAGTTTCTAACCTCACCAGTATAATTCTCAAATAGTGTAAGAGCCACAGTTTATTTGCGCAAGTTTATGAGTTTAGAATAACAGCAGGGAGAGGCAAGAAGCCCAGAGGGGGATTATTCCTGGCTGCGACTTTAACATTGTAAAACTGTGTTCACAATATCCACAGAAGTAAAACTGCACATGTTCAGTTTGTTCTGTTTAAAGAAGCCCATACTGTAACTGTTAAAGTTAAGAAAGAGAGCATCAAGACATCATGATCAGTGACTTTTAAACTATTAACATCATGCAAATTATACACCAAAGTAAAACACAGAAAAATCATCATGTGATCAATCAAATGAAAAACTGATTCTATAGCTAAAAGTAGTTCAAGAAGGATTAGTAAAAGAGTAGCACTTCTGTGCCCTATTGTTAGTGTGTGCTTTAATATTCATTACCAATAACTATTTTCTCCTCTTTTCCTATAGTTTCACAAGGTTATCAATATATAAAAGGAATCACAAACAATTATACTACATTTCCCACAATGAGGTCAGGATTTAATATATTCAAAGGGAAATAATAATTTCAGGCATTGAAAAAATGAGAAAAAAAAAAACTGACCTTTCTTTCTAAAATTAACTTTGTATTTACACAAAAAAAAAATTGTACTTATAATCCTATAAATTTGTTTTGCTTCTGTATTTCAACCTTCAATAAACAGTTTTACATCCCTTTAAACCAGCGGTCCCCAAACTTTTTTCAGTGGGGGCCACATCAACTTTCCTTTCTGAGATGGGGGGTTGATGAGGTTAGTCTATAACAGGAAATGATATGGGCTAGGGTGACAACCAGTATTATTGTGGAGATTACAATGATAATTTGTTGTAGCTGCCCTTCGTTTGGCTTTGGCACCACCTGTTGATTTGCAGCTAGCTCTGTTTGCTGGGCGCAATGGCTGTGCGGG